TCGTAGAAAGGTTACTACTGTGGTAAACTTGACTTTAATTAATCAAATTACCCCCGAAATGTTGGGCTATGAATAGATGAAACTGTCAAGACTGATTTAAATCCATTTTTCTAAAATGACGAGCTAATACTGCGCAAAATAGTAATATTTTCCCACATTAATATCTTTATATGCCTAACTGTAAATCCATCACCAAGCAAATTCATTAAGCGAAAATTTTCGCACTGCATTTTTACAATAGATTAGAATTCATGGCGGCTATTAAGAGACAATATCCGTCGCCATATACGCCTTCTTGACTGGGATTTTCATCGGCGTATAAATAGCAACTGTCAGTTGGTATATAGTTTCTATAAAGTATAAGATATAATATTATTAATATGAATTAATAGTTAATTTCTTTATCCCATATCCGTATGCATGAATGATTTTGAGTTACAATTTATTATCAGCGTACTAATGAAAGCATCAGCCCGATCATTTTTTGTTCTTTTTATGATTTAAGTAACGAAATAAAGTCTCTGCGGCCTATATTTTATTAAATTTAGGAATAATTTGATTATAACCATGTCAAAAGTAGCTTTACTGGTAGTAAGTACTCCTATAATTTCGAATTTCATCAACAATTGAATACTAACATTACGTAATGTCATTATTTTCCTCAGCGTGAATTCTATTATAGTTCATAGGATGTCTCTATGTCTATAATCCCAGTTTCACGATCAGTAGCTTGTCAATCTGAAATAAATACTGTTCATACTCATTCGATTTCAATTTATTAATGTAACTTTCATGGATGGCATTAGCGTTTATAACTATTAAGTCACTAGATAGGGATGATTGCTGGCTTTATGACTTTTAATCAACTAAGTAGGAGTGACTTCCAGATAAATAAGAGCTATTATTTATTCTACTTCTGCATTTTACAGTTAGATTTTAAATACCTTGAATTCAGATATCCTTTAAAGATCTCCACTTACAAAGCACTCCTTGACCTATTTTAACATTACAGCATTTGCATATCTAAAACATTATAAGTAGACTTGGCATGAATATCTACAGATTATTTCCAATTTATTAGTTCAGTATTACCCCTTATCAAAGTTCAATATTTATTTCGACCTAATAGTATTTGCATAGAAATAGCTAAAACACTATAGCTAGGAACTTTTAACTATAGTAGATACAGCATTAACTATATTGGGTCGTTTATATTCGTTTTTAAAGTACTGTATGACCAATTTTGACCTCATCGCATTTATACAGGTACGTCTGAAATTCTATGAATAGGAATCTTGTATAATATTACACTAATAGCCGTAGAATCTTTTCGTTCATATACTTTTGCAAAGAACTTTATGACCTATTTCGAGCTAATAATATCTGAATGGGCATGTCTGAAAATTACGTGTATAAACTTTCTTATAAAAGCAAGACAATAACCATAGAAATTTCTCGTTTATATTTGCTTTTAAGGTAAGTAACCATTCATACCGATCTAGTAGCACTTGTACAGATAGATTGCTACCATCGTAATTAGGGACAGGTTATGATTAAATGTAGAATTCGCTCTTTTATTCTCTTATCAAAGTTCACGACCTGTTTAGACCTAATTGATTCTACATGAATACGTCTATACAATCATGAATAGAGGCTTTTGCTACACGTTCTAACTACATCAACGTCGATGATTGACACAATAATCTAACTTCAAGACTATTAAACTTCATATTTCGATATAGTGTCACGTTCTGTAATAGTTACATAATTAGTATGTTACCTTCTTTCTATATATGGTTAAAATATCACGTCAGGCGTATATAGATGTAGTTATGGTACTATATTAAGGTTATCTATATATGTATTCTCATGTTGCCATACTTGGCATGATAGTCTATTTGTAATGACTAAACTAGGGAAACCTTTCTGTTAGTGATGATCTTGTGATCTACGTCAGTAGATCAAAGGTCAGAATAAAGAAAGTATATAAACTCTTCATTTTAACAATAAAGTTAGTTCTTCAACTTAATTACTGGGTCTCTTTGCTGATTGCAGATCTAGTACTTGTTACAAAATTTGGAAGTTGTAACAAGCAGGCTCTGAATATATAGTATCTAACTATTAAAAATTGGAATCCCAATCCTGCCATATCTATTACATTCATTTTGAAGTAGTTAATGAGCCACTTTGACGATATTGCACCTGCACGAATAAGCTTTAAATGTTATGACCGAGAAATAGGAGCAAAATTAGCACATACAGCATATATAGACGTCTATTTACCTTTGCACCATTATGGATATTAGAACTTGGAAGTAATAATCCAGTCTTAGCACTTGTGTTATAATTCGGCATGATGGCCTTTTCCGCTTTAATTTTCCACATATGAAAGAAATTCTACTGTAATTAATCAAGCTCAATTGTAAAAGTTTAACTTTTTACAAATTACTTAACACTTTAAAATTAGTATAATAGCCCAGCTGCATGATTATCAATTAGAATTGTAATTCCGCCTTTCAATGCATTTATAATTTATTCAATTACTGCAAGTCTAATTTCTTATACACTATATTAACACTGACAAGCCTAAACAATAACCATGCTTCACGATCGTTAATTAACCTTTTCCTTTTAATTTTAAGAGCAGCTGTAATTTACCAGGTTTAACAAATTTAATTTTTACATATACCTTTAACCATTAAAATCGAGCTATTTAAGGACGATAACCAAGCTTTATGACCACTACCTAAACTTCTGATTTTGATATTGAAATCAACCGTAATTAATGATATTTCTATTTCATAAAATTTTATTCTTGCGTCTTGCATCTAAAATTTAAGGCCTAAACGATTAAGTTGATAATTCACGCTTCACGATGTTGTGTGCTAGTTAAGGAGGACCAATTAAAATCTCAATTTTACCTTATCTACATATTACAGATTTCTTACTAATGCTACACACGATTATTGATAGGCATGTAATTTAGATTCTATAAGCGGTACCATTTATTCGATAAAGTTGACATCTTCAAGCTTCGCATGAACATATGGCAGTCTAGATGATTATGTCAAAGACTCGGAAATAATCGTGATCAACTTTTAGACTTGTAGTTTTGATATTAGAATTAGAGATCATTTATTCCATTGCTATTATGGAGTCTTTAATTTTTCTTGTGCTTAATTACGAAACTGTATCTGTAAATGGTGATAAAATCTTTATCTATAACTATAGAAAACTTACAGTTACAATATATTAGATATGAAATAGATTTTATTGTAGATTCTAGATCCGATTGTGATATTTCCTGCTAACGCAAATCAGTAATTCTAAAAGTTTTCAACACGATCTTTTTCACAAAGATTGTCTCACTCAATTTATACTTTCTATAGTTACAATCTAGAAACATAAAGAAGAGTCTTAAATTGTATCCGCTATAACTTGCAGACTTAATATGCGCTCTTCTGGAATAGAAAGGTAATTAGCCCATACAGGTAATAATCTATATTTTTATTTAAAAGTCATTAGCAGTAATTTAAATATCGTATTTTAAACCTTAAATGTAGATATTAAAGAATAAACACATAAGCAAGCTATGATGATTTTAGATAGAAAAATGATAATCTGCTACGTGATCATGTTACGAAGGAAATCATATACAAAATATGCAAGATATAGCTAACAGTAATTTCATTATAAGTCATAGTATGGAATAGTATAGAATATCATGTTTAAGTACGTTAATAGTACATAATATAATGAGTATTAAACTGCCGGATACCAGTAAACTAGTGGCCAGTGGATGTCGACTGTAATATTTGCATGCAATTTATTAAGCTAAGAGACTATTTCCTGGGTGTGCTGTGATGAATGGGAAAATTTTTATATATTGTTTACAAAACAGCTTAAAATCTCTAAATTATTCAAGATAAAAAGCTAACAAACATGTATTGAATCAATGATAATTATCGTAAAATTATCATAAAGTAGTGGTTGGAAAACTGCTCTGCTAAAAACAGATTACTCCATTCCCAAGATGAAGGATCGCGTAGATTTTTAAGAAGTCTTTCCACTCTTCCTTCTCAATCTTGCTGTTAGAAAAAACTTTTTCTACCAATTGAACTATTGTAGACTTGAATGTATAAGTATCTTTGCTAGATTACATGCTAAGAGTTAGGTAGGATGACAGTTAGTTTAAGTTTCAATGGCAATATTTACATTGCAATCATTTTGTATAGCGCGGATATGCCATAATGAAGACATCAGAAAAGATCAGGTAATTGCAAAATTGTTTCACATAATATCTTAGTAAGTTAATATTAGTTTAGTACAGTCTTACATCGCTAAATATCTCTCCAAAAGTGACTCAAAACTATTTTGAACTTGCAACACTATCTTCGCGGATTAGACTCAACGCTGCGCAATATTTTGCGCCCAAAAGTTACCTCAATTTGATAACAGCCTATTCAGTTTCCCGACGAATTTCTTCAATTATTCACTAATTTAAATATTTTTATAAATACACGTTTATCCATTTCATGTCTTGTACAGTCTTTGCACTTTGATGTCGACTTCTAATGTTAGATGTAATTGTTAACTGAAATTTTAATAAAAATGATTATCCCAGTTGCCAAAATGTAACTTTTATTAAAGAGGACTCTCACTAGTTCATAAAATTTAGTACTACTTTCAATTTCTGTAGGAAGGACATCGCTGGATGATGACTTTAGATGAATTTGAAACAGAATTTATTCAATATTTAAGCTGTTTGTCAGATACAGAACAGTCTAAAATGATAGTATAGATTCAAGGTACAGATTCATTCCTGAATGTAGTCATCAATATGATCATCGACTCATTCGTTTCGATATTCTTGAACTAGTACTTGCTCAGCTTAGATCAGGCACTTAGTGAATTGAATAATTGCAGAATGGAGCCATTATATCACCATCAATTCTTTGCTTGCTAAAACAAAATAAAAATTCTTAGATTGGGGTGAATTCTTAATTAGGTGTTACTTCAATAATCCGCGTTAATGTAGTTCCCTCATCGTTGGATTTAGGTGCAGTCACAGTACTTGTTTCAGAATCTAAAGCTTCCATGATGTCAATTCGTCTCTTACGACGCGAAATCGAGAAACGTCCGAGTGATTGTGGACTAAAGAGAGGCGCCATAGATCCACGACGATTTCCTAAGCCAAATATACCACTACCGATGATAGGTAGATGTGTTGGTTGGCGGACTCGTGGATATCGTAAGGATGTCTTCAGACCTAACTGTTTCCTAATGGTATCATTGGTAGATGCATAGATGACGGGATTTAGAAAGGCATTAAAGACGATTGGCAATAATACTACGCGCTTCATGATATAGTAATCACTAAGTGAGACCAATTTAAATATAATTAGAACTTGATATACTAAGCGAGGTAGCCAACATACAACAAAAACGATAAATGAGATAAATGCCATATAAGTTAATTTTCTTCTGATTACTGCTTTAATATTCCTGCGAATCATGATCCAGTCTGCACCCGGGCCACGGACTTTTAGCGAAGATAAACTGTTGGTTTTACCCGTGCGTCGAGAAATATCGACATAACAGAATATGGTTATCATTAAGGGGAGATAGAGACGGAAAGTCTCCAAAATAAAGAATAGCATGAAATCAATTGGTCTAGCAATTATTTGGCATGGGCTGTATAACTTCGATTGATTTGATATATGAGAGTCACGTAAGATATAATCGACTGGCCAAGCAAAGGATAGAGCCACCAGGGTAAATAATAACGTAGATGTATTGCGTCTACTAAAGACTCTTTTGTATTTAGTTGGTTTAACGACAGCATACCAACGTTCAATACCCATGGAGGCAATCATCTGCACTGATAGATAGCATGGTACATGAAGCAGATATTCCGATGATATCAGTCGACAGAATATATCTCCAGCTAATCCTTTTGGAAGGATGTAATCTGCGATTGGAATAATAAAGGAAGGCATTAAAAATAAGATGCAAGCTTCAATTAAACCACTGACTGACAAACCAAAGATAAATTTATTGGATGATTGACGCATTATTTTTTTCCGACGACCAAGAAGAAAGCAGATTAAGGCATTACTAGTAACAGCTAGAAAGGCTGTAGTAGCATAACATGCCTGCAATATTGGAAGAACATTAGCAGATAGTGTTTCATTGATGAAAATGTTGGGGTTCCGGCTTTCATTCATGTTATTACTTTCTAAATCCGTAGTTTCAGTTCTAATCAATGCTATTTGGTGGTTTATGTAGTAATATATTGAATATGACTTTGAGCAAGATATCAAGTTATCTTAATTATTTTAGATAGGCAATTACTTTTTTCACAAAGGAACAGTAAATTAAATTCCAGTAAAAGCAGTGTGATACAGTTTATGATCTCGATGATTGGAAGCAAATTGGCAATGTCGCTTGATGATAACAATACTGCAATTACGATTAGACAGAAAATCTTAGCCAAGACGGTATGAAGTAACAGATGGAACTTTTCGGGATTATGCTAAATAAAATATTGAAAGATGTAGATTGTCAAGAAATTAATGATGTGAATAAATTCTTCAGAGATGATAATTTCACCAACAAATTACAAGAAAACTAAATGGTTGATGGATTATACTGCTACTTAATCGATAAGCAGTCTAGTCGGGAAATTATCTTCAACAAGCTACCCAAAGCATTTTTAATTTAGAATAGTTCTATGATAAAATATTGAAATTAATGTCGAGACCAAACTCTAGCACGCAAATAAAATTCGTTTTCGTCGATTATAGTGATATTAAAAATCGGTTTGTATTTTTTAATAATAAAATTTGAATTACTTGATAACGATCAATATGACACTAAAGTACCGACTGAAAGCCTATATACCAGAGATCTCTACACAATAAATATCTTTCTAAAGCAGAAAATTGCACATATTACTCATGCAAAAGTAAAATAGCAACTATCGGTTATTGTAGAAATTAGATTGATAATATAGAAGATAAGTCTAGCAATAATGAACAAAGATAAATTAGTCAACACCGATTATAAATCTATTCAAGGTATCCTTTAATTTATCTCTGATGGAATTCATGAATTTTAAAGTAGATGGTAAGCATAGATAATAGCTTATAGGCAAAAATAAATGCATGCAAGCCCATCAGCTAATGTCATGCAAAATAAATTAATGTGTTAAATATAGCAGTTTTAAATGATAACCTTAGGTAATAATTAACTTTAGCTACAGTCATCAGGTAGGGTAATATTGAATATTTAAAAATTAAATACTCCATGGCGATTGATGCATGACTTTAACAATCAAATTGACCTAAGCAGAAACTAGAATTAACGTTGTTTATTAGTTGAGCTTCATTATTCTATTTGATATAGTCAACAGGATACAATATCGACCTTCACTGAGATTCTTAACTGTGACCTTAGGTGCTTAATAAAGTTAATATGGAGGCAATTGCCGAGATCATACGATATTCACATTGTCTAGAAGACTAACCAAGTTGGATTGTGAAACCTTCCTATTTGCATAATCTAAATAGGTTTGGCTCCAGCTGTGTCAATAAGTATAGGCGTCAAGATGATAACAATTTTCAGCAAACCTATTTACATTTTTATCAAAAGCGGATAAATTATACGGATTTCCTTTTATCCTAATCTTAATCCCACCCGTTTATTCCAGATAAGGATTTAATGTAGCGTTGTTCTATATTGACAGTAGGCAAATAAATTCTCATTTGCATTACATGCATGCCATCTAGCTCTGTTCTATGATACAACATAGATCTTGTAATAGAAATACTAAGAGGCATATTTCTGTAAACAATCTTGCAAGAATTTGATACTAGCATGAAAGCATCGATTTATAGAGTAATGGATATTTCTGCCATAGAGTTAAATATATAGCTCAATAATATTCATGATATGATTACGTACTCAATATAATAACATAATAACCGAAAGGAGGAAATTCAATGTATACTTAATACATGAAAAAATTTTTCCTCGTTAGTTTATTAAATATAAACCGGTAGTTTCTTTGTGAAGTTATTATGAAAGAGAAAGTATATTCGACTATATTACTTTCTCTTAATAATATTTAATAGTCTTTGATTAGGATGAGTTCTGTAGCTTTACTATACAGTATTTTAAAATCAGCTTTAGTTTTATTAATTAATAAATTTCATAATAATCTTTTACTTTTACCTAATATACCTTATTATTTGCCTAAATATGATATGGACTATGATGGTGGGTTGGATGAATCAGCGGCTACGGGCTTAGTAGCCATTCACAGAAAATATGCAAGGGATTTTAATAAAGGTGAATACTTTATTGTAGATAGTAATGGAGGTACAATGCGGTAGTTACGGTAGATCAGCGTGTAAGCCGTCGTGAAGTAAAGTGAGGAAGTACTACTACGACCAATAGTGCAACTGAATGAATCTGAGGCAGAAATCATCAGTATTTATAGTTTTAGAGAGAGAACATATGCAGAGAACAGTATTATAGAATTAGATACATCATATACCATAAACAGACTATATAATAGTGCATGGGTGTAGGAAATAGCCAAGACTGTAGGTGCTACAAATTACTAAATACGACAAGCTATATTTAAGCATAGTTGAAATAGACTTTAGAGGTATCTATATTCGGAACATAACGAAATGTCTATATTTACGAACATGTCTAAAAACTACAGTGAAACTAAATACACTACATGGACTAAACTGAATCATTTTGTGAATTGAAAAAAATTAATTTACAATGTAATGTAATTCGACATCTAACTATCGTATTTAATCAGTAACGATTATATTTTTTTGATTCGCCCTTAGAGTAAGATTATGTAACAGTTTAAACAGGCGCAATCGATCATAAAAATTTCAAGCTGTAAGTAAATTGGAGTTTTCATTGTTATATTTCGCCCCTGCTGGCTATTTTTCAGTATTTCGCTGCAATATTAGGAGAAAGGCCGTTGTAAAAATAGAGCAATGAAGGTTACATTTATGTCACATGTTTACGGAATTGCATATGCAGCCCTTTGATATTAATTTTAATATTAATGCATTAATTCTTTCAATTTCATTTGAATAATACATATTTTCAATAAGGTATACACATTTCAGTCTATAAATCAATTTACTATGGAAGCAGTATAAATATAATCCAAAAATGCTTTTCAGCATCTTACTATTTATTAATTTCAATGTCATGTGTTTACTAATTCTTTAATCTTAACTGCCCAAGTCACGCCTAATCAACCAAACAAAGTCTATAAATTAGCCAGTGTTCTCGAAATAATGTATTCGTATATAATTTCAATAATTCTCTTATGTAATGCTATTTCATTTCAAAATGATTGGCTAACTACTAACTTAAATTTAAGCTTCTCATACTATGCAAAACCAATAAACCAATTATAAAATTACTTCAGTTCGTAAATAAATAGCATTCTACTTCTTGGAACTCATATTATTAATAATATAATAATATATCGTACTAAATTATAGCGATAGATGAATTCCTACTTTTCTTAGATAAGGGGACTGAAACCGGCAAAAATATTCTAGCTATAAATGTTAAATGTGAAGCTTACTTCGCAATTATTGACTATTCGATATCCAAATTTTCTGGTTAAAGTGCAATAGTTAATAGTTCTTAGCACTTGATTTGTAAGTAAGTTTGGGATCTATTTCTCGATAGAAGACTGTATCATTAATTTACTAAAATACTTATAGCACCAAAAATTTCTAAATGTATTGTCATTAAAATCATTAATAACACTATTTCACGATATCATTTATAAAATGATTTCTATCAATAAATAACTGAATCTCTCATTATTTTCAAACTAAAAATGTGATAAACGGTAAAGTAGAAGATTAACGAATACATTTATATAACAGACGACATTTTTACCATAATATTATGCTCAATGATATCATTTAGAAATTACTAAATTTTCTACTTAAGTAAATTAAAAGTTTCCGGGAATAAACTAAAAATTCTATTTTGATCCTAAAAATTGAGATAGAATAAGAGTAAATCCAAGTTTTTCAATATTTACAATTTCTTTCTGTGTCTAGTATCCAATTTATACAGTAGATACTAATTATAACTATCCTAAGAAGATCATTAATGATTTTGTCACAAGTAAACGAAAGACTGAAATACAAAACTTTAGATGTAATCCAATCAAGAGTTCAGCAAAAAACACTTATAGTTCTTTCATGCTTCATCAATGAAAAACATTATCTTTTCAGCCTATATTCTATGAACATTAACTTTTTCTTTTAAGTGGCACACAAAGCTATAAAATGAAGGTAAAATCGAATTAAAAACTTCTTAATCTTACTCAAGTTGAATGACATAAAGTATTTATGAAAACATAAAAATATTTAATTTCATAAGTATAAACCTAAAAACAGCGATATTTTAATTTCGTAATATTTTAAAATATTTTGTTTTATTCATTCATCAAGATGTTGACCTTGAAGCTTAGTAGTGGTTTATCTTAAGCCTTAAATTGCATTCTATCAAAGGAAATAAAAATATTTTTATGTCGTTATAGTTACATTTAAAAGTTAACTAAATAACTTTGTGCAAATACTTTATTCGACCTTGGCTAAATGTTTTACTCGTCATTCACCTACGTTTAACCATATTGAATTTTCATTGTTTATGAAGATGAAAAGTAAATAAGCAGATTACATGTTAATCTCTTCACAATAGTTTAGTGATAGATACTAAGGTCATTTTCCTAAGCTGATTCCCATCATCAATATATTTCCTCCCTAGTGTTACTATATGATGCAATGATCATTCACAGTTGTATAATTTACAATATCTAATGCTCTCTATGAAATAACTGAATCGCTATTTCCTGTCATTAGAAATAATTTTTTATCAACTGGGTGTTGCCCGTATGTTCATAATAATTATTAATCCGATACAAACGATACGCTAATATTTGTACAAGTTTGATTGCTGTTCAGGCTAATGATAGAGATAATTGTGTTTATTACTAGTGTGAGAGTAAACCATGTTTATCATGCGATAATAATTGAATTTTAATATCTCGATTTGGTATTAAACATAGTAATTATTTATTTTATGTATTCAACCGTCTGTAATTTGCATTATTTCAACTTTATTATCAATCATTCTAGCAAATAAATTGTAATAATTGCGATAGGGCTGCTCTTGCATTACTTTTGAACATGAAGGAACTGGTTTGACGTGCCATCATTTCTTTTATTCCTCATATGATCATATCATTGCAATTTCGAGTAGCTATTTTACTTAATCAAGCGAAATAGTTCGACTTATCGCTACGAAAGGAAATATGATGGTGCATTTTATACACTTGGGAAGCTTAACGAATTCCCGATAGTGTAGCAGATCAATTTTGATCAACGTTTGTTGTTTAGTATCTATGGTTCTGTTTCAAGATGGTCGATAAGGAGACCAAAACATAAAAATAGCAGTTTAAATACTACAATAAAATTTTAATTTGTGCACAACAATAACAGTCCTCGATATTGTTCTCTACTTTAATGAGCGATAAACTGATGATATATATAATATACCTTTAAAATGTTTCAGATCCTTATTTTCCACTTATAACGGAACAAAAATCTTTAATAACAGCTCCTGCTTCGAAACTAAAGTTTAACATAAGAGTATGCGCAGCTTAACTGCTAAAATAAATCCTTTGCGATACTACCTTCTTCCTAGATAATAGTCCTTTGGTATTTACGGTATACCACTGATGATATTTTTGTTATTGTACCCACTTATGATAGCAAGTACCGTTAATCCGTAATAACAGCACTCATATTAAAACTTGACTTTGAAATTAGGGCATGAAGAGCTTGCCTGTTTCAATAGATCCGTAGATTATCTATTTCGATAAATTGCCCGTTAAAGTCCATGGATTGAAATTAAAGTTTTTATTGTCACCATTTTCACTTACAACGGTACGATAATCCATAATAACGGCTCTCATAATGAAATTAAAGTTTGAGCTCAGAGTATACTTCGCTTGAATACTCTAATAAGCCATTAACTCGGGGATGTACAAGTCCTTGGCGAATCTATTTTCTTCTTAGAGAATAAGCTGCCCGCCAGTATTTATGATATACCTTTAAAAAATTTTTTTTTATTACACGGATATGCACTTTTTATTATCTGCAATGAAAACGCTCACACTAAAATTAAAGTTTCGATTAGGGCATGGATAGCTTACCTGTAATAACAAGTACTTGGTATACGGCTCAGTAAAATAGCAATGCTCTTATCTGTGATAGAGTTTTACTTCAGTGTTTAAACACTAGCAAAATGGGTTTAGCAATTATATTCGAATAAATTTTTAAAATGATGCTATTAATATTTGAAGGTATTGACGGTAGCAATGTACGCCTATTATAGCAAATTGAAACAAACAAGATATTGCCAAGATCTATACTCAAGTTTTCGTTCACTTTTTAAACTTTGATGAGCTCTTTTCGACAACTTTGCCGCTAATAATAGATGAGAATAATATCAACGCTTATAGGCCTATTCAGCTTTTGGAAAGTTTTAGTTCATTTTTCATACCCTGCCGATCTCGATTTGACTATGGATTGTAAAATTAGTCTCACCTGGATGACTTGTTTAATTTTTGATGAAATTAATGGCAGTATACAGCAGATAACAATTACGCCCGTACTAAGATCACTAATCAAGTTTTAAACCCTTTCTCAATCTCTTACCCGTCCTTTTAGCTACTGATATTGGGAAAAACTATGAAGACGAAGGAAATTAACACTTGATAAAATAACCACTACTACATCAAACGATAACAGCGGTACTAAGATATTTGATAATATTTTATGTCTGTATTCAAGCTATAATTAATTCTTCAAGAATTCTCTTACGAATAAGGTTTCTAGAAAGGAATTTGTAATCGTAGTAACACTGGTAATAGTTAGAACAGTTAGAACGATACTGCTATCCGCAATAAAATTTTATTTGTTTGCGTAAAAAAACTCTCATCGTCATCATTTAAATTAAGGAAGCTCTAATAGAGCAGTTGCAATATGATGATTAATAATTTAGTCTTCACAGCCAATATTAACAGCCCAAATACGGAGCTGTAAGTATTTTTACTTACAGATACGCAGGATAAATTTGGGCTATGAATAGAACAGATTAGCTTTGAAACAATGCTATTTCATATTAGTATTTTACCATAGTAACACGCAAAGGATTTCTATCTATAATGGTAAAGCATGTGATACTCCAGAATAAGTATTGCTAATTATAGTTGTTAAAGTTAGTCGATATCTAATATCTAATAAAAAAAGATATCGCCACCGACATTCAGTTTTAGCTGTATAAAATTTCAGGTCAATAGATGAGAATTACATAGGCCCTAACATGGTTGCATAGGACTTAAAAGTAGTCGGTATTTAAAAATAAATTTTTGATTGGTAAATTTACTGAGATCAGAAGGAATAAAGATAGCAGAGACATACTATCTTGCAACTTATTGATTCGATGAGTTTCTAACCCCCTATTGCAGCTAAAGTTGCATATCAGATAGAGCTCATATATGCACGTACATTTCTGATATGGAGTTATGTGCTATTGCTAAGCTCTAATTGGACCTATCTATTGCGTCCTATTTATCACCTTCAATACTATAAATTCATAACCGATCCAAGAATTAATCAGTACTAGTCCAAACTCCCGTCGCTTTGCTGACGGTTTACGATAATGTACCCATTTGTTAATAATTTGTTAATAAAATTAACAGATAGTATTATCATTCGATAATATATATGTTATATATCCCGGTAATAGTAATGTACTATGCTATATTAAGATTAGTTAATGGTCCAAAGCACATTATGATAACTAATGTACGGTGATGGATATGCCAAGTTAAGATTAGCAGGTACTGTAAGATATCTACAGTGCGGTACAATGCCCTTAGTCCTGTGGTCAATTCTATACCAATCATTATAATGTGTCTAAGGATTGCTTGAGTATTCGATAACAACCGTTATAAAAAAATGTAATAATCAAAATGGCTGAGTAGAAAACTCTATAAAGATTCTATGTTTATTCAATTTTCATCAGAGTATTACATCAAATCATAACTTAAAGGCCCAGTGGCCACCCTTAGTGATATAACAGATACTATTTCAAAAATCAGTACTCTGTAGAAATTACTACCTTAGAGCTATTCGTTTTACATGAAGAAATCTTGAGGTAAAAAGTACAGTAAGAATCTTATACTGACCTATTGAAATGAACCCATAATCAGAGTCATCTAACAATAGTATAAATACCCCTGCGCTGCTCGTAGGGAGGCTGGCTGGCATTTCTCTAATTGAGTAGCGACTATTCAATTTTTAAATCCTAAATCTACTACTTATAACCCTCTGGCTTGACTATTTTGAGAATTTCTAATTTAATCCATTCTCAACTTTCTGAGACTATAAGTATCATTTGACAATATTTATATTTTGATTAGTTTATCATTGTATATGCTAGCTTATAATAACAATAGCATTCAGTTTGCAAGCATCCGACCAGCTTGATGAAGAGCTTATAAAAATTTCCCAATGTCTGTGAAGGTCCAATGAATCTTAACAAAATTCTTTGACGCGTAAATAACAAATTGCACTTTGATCGGATGTTCAAAGGTTATTTTAATTAGCGTCACATGATGGGATTAAATTAATAGCCCTTTTCTATTTCTTTCTTAGGTGTTCTTTAATTCGAATGGATTAATGAGGTATCGAAGCTGCATAAATTGAATTAAATTTAAACGACTAAATTCATAAGCATTACAATGATATTAATAAAAATCTAATTTATAGCCTGATTGCTAATCTATGAACATCTTTCCATTATTACAAGCAATCGCTAAGATATCCTAACAACAGTATTACTGGTCATTTTAAGCGTCTGTTGTTCAGTTCAAGGATTCATTGTGTAAGTAAATAGAATTCAAGTTTTTTGTTTCTGCGTATACTATACTACAGAGTCATTTTGTATGATGATCCATTTCGATAGTTAATTTCTTACTCCTTTCCAATCAATTTATCCATTAAGCATTTTTATTATTAATTGCGTTTACTATTTAATTTGAGAATTTTATCTTTGTTATCCTACTTACAATATTACAGTTGACGGATATAACTCTGAAAATTGAAGTAGTTTAATAACTATATTGTACGTTAGCAAAGTTGACATTAGACTTTTCCATATTATCGGTACCTCCTTTTGCTGCTATGCAAGCACATTCACGCTCTAAAGGTTATGCATATATGTACATAGAGAATATCAGGAAGTCTTAATGATCTTAGCATATGTTATCCTGTAACGAAACAGTATCAATTTTAGTCGTTAAACCGAGTAGCTATCAATTACCCAGGCTTCCGTAATCTTATAGATGACTCCTGAAGTATGATTCAATAATATAAAAATATGGTACGATTACTTCCCAAAGTCAAGAATTTGATGTAGTTTTGAGATTTAGAATGGCGAAGTAACAACCGCTATCAATATCCGCTTGTTCATACAACTGCTGCAATTGTACCGATCAAATTTTAAACATTGATCAATCCTCACTTTGGTGACGATCTGATTAATTGGAATTTATTCTATTTATGGGCAGTCGCAACAAGTAAAAAGTTACTATAGCATTATAGGGGGAATTAGGAAATTTTCTTATGCCATCAGTTGATTCCTGCCAATGTAAATATCGGCCTATCTATCCTTTAGGAAAAGATTAAAGTAATTTAATGACATCAATAGCCGTTGGCATAACCAAGCCATAGGCTTTGAACAAATAAGTAGAACTTTCCGTCTTCATTCCCGATTATTTATAGGGTATATTAGTATAACTCTTAAGTATATTCAGTATCATCGATAGATTTAGCTTCTGACTCTTTAAATTTTTATATTAGGATACTATGCCTGGTAATTCGGATAATACCGGAGCCGAAGAATCGGCGAATAAATTATCCCCACTTGGGTAAGTATCACAGGCTAGTGATTCTTAGCCTCTTCCAAAATAAATATGAGTTTCTCTCTTATTACTTATGTCTTCCTTGGATTCTTTCGTATGTTTTTAATATAATGAATATTTCCCTACTATAGCGGTTGGCTTGATACCGCTTTGCAGACTTTGATTGTACAAAGTTCGCCATTCCAAAGGGTAATTCATACTTGCCATTTTATGTACGGTGACGAATTGCATAGCATAAGCAATAGAAATTGATCTGTGATTATTGCAGTTTCGCCTTGGAGTATATTTTATGTTGCACGAATGTTCAAAATAAGAAATCTTTACATAATAAACTCACTTGCTAATCCTGGATTTTATACCGCCAAATCTTATAGGATTTATCGTTAAAGCGAAGTAGAAGCAGTGGAGGTATTTTCCCTTCCAGCCCTATCCCAGAGGTAAGATACTTGCGCTGATGAATATTATGAAACTGAGAATAAGATTTCTATAGTACTGTAGAATGAGGGTAAAGTCTGGTAATTACAAGAATTGTTGTATATTCAAAGCTGCTGAATCTGGGCATATTTTGCAAGTTCATAAAGTCAGATATATGCTAAATTCTTAACTATGTCTAGTAATCGTTGGACATACTACGATATCGAGTATACGTAAGATTATAGAAATCAAATAGGATAGCTTAGATATACTAATTTACAATCCAGTTACTTATAGCAATATAACTGTTACAGTATGAAGAATGGGCAAGTTCGTAGGTATTAAATAAAGTAGTTTACATGTGTCGGTTCACGATGCAATTGCTATCAAAATACATTGTATAACTATTGCAGTAAAGATCAGGAGGCTTGGTAGATTTGCTTCAATATGTTGATTTAAGATCCAATTACTAGCAGCTAGGCTAAAATACGCTTCTAGAAATTGTAAAGTATAAAAATTATGACAGTATGGAGTATAGGCGAGATCCTAGAGGTTAAATAGGTTTGTTTTAATATGTTAGTTTACGATCCAGTTGCTTAAGAAGGATATAGCTTTTGAGATGCGAAGTATGTATATAGGCAAGATTGTTGCGGTAATAGATGTGTTTAACTATTTATGTTGATTTACGATCTAGCTTCCTCGGAAAGTATATAACTTACTATGATATCGAGTAGAGACTGATATTGGTATATCATCTACTTGCTAGTAAAGCTGTAAAATAATTTAAATATCATAAAGTAGAAAAGCGAGCAGTTTAACAGTATAAGTTTGTTCTATTTCCCGCTTCCGATTGGACTGCAGATGATCTACAATAGAATACTGTTTGTAATCTTCTCTTACATAGGTAGTTAAAATTAGTCAGAAATAGTTGTTATTCAATTTAAAGTTAAGCTTGTTATGGAAGCCAAGCAGTTATTATGGCTGATTTGTGTTCTTTAACGATAACCAGCTTTTATTTCGAACAACATAGGAATCCCAAGAAGGTCTTCGTCTTACTAAAAGCATGAATGATTCCTTGATTGAAATTGATGATTTATCAGGAATTGTAAGTATATAGCCTTTAACCTTAGTGTCTTCATTAATTTGTAATATATATCATCAATTCCATCGAGTAAGATACCATCAGCATGATTAGTATTTTAGGGATTAACAGATAAGTTAGAAGTTAGAAGGATACGATGTAAACTTTACAACATCATCAATAGGATCGATAAATTTCAAGTGTTTCACATAACCCCATAACCCATCCTATGGTTATAATACGTAAGATAAATTACAGTCAAATAAAAAATCAAGTAATCTTGCTATAATTACGGTTAGTTATGGTTTAAAGCTACTTGCCATAGCTTATGGCAATGGCTAGTTCCACCTTTAAAATTATTGTCGCTATGTAGATGATTCCGTTGTAATCAGCCCTGACCATGATCTCAAAATAGTTGGCAAAACATCCGTTAAGAAGAAATCTCAATAACCATTTAATTTAATGAGTGAAAGTCTCTTAAACTGAATTACTCGATCTCGTGTATACTACTTTAAGAATCTATTAGGTTTATTTCAAAGTCTTTGTCCTCATAATATCCTTTGGTAACTACCAATAACCTCTTAATATTTCATATTTCAAAGGAGCAAAGCACAGGTCAAGATTTAACGGATGGAAATCAATCTACAAGTAATGGTTTATCGACCATTACTGAACATGAAGATACCGTTGATGGCTTTCGATCATCCTTAAAAGAAGCCAAGGAACGATTAGAACAAATAAAGAAGGAAAAAGAAGAATTACTAGCTTTACAAAAGCAGACAGCGCATGAATTATCCAATATGACGCAAACAAATCAAGCATTAATCAAAGAATCAGATGAAAGAGAAGTAGAATATGCAATATATAAAGAAGAAGTTCAAGCGCTTAAGGAAACCTTGATAGAACGCGAAGAAGAGTTGCAACTACAAAAACAAGAATCCGTTCAATTGCAAGCATTATTGAAAGAGAAAGACTTAAAAATAGATCAATTAAATGAAAAGAATCATGAGCTAAAATCGCAAGTTGTCTGTTGTATGCAAGAATTACAGCATGCCAAAGATGATAACAACAACATTATGCAATCTTTACAACATACTCAGGAATTTCTACAAGAAGCTAAAACAGAAGGAGAGCAATGTCGTCAAATGTTAACCCAATGCAAAGATATGTTGGTGGATGCAGAGGAGCGACGAGAACAATTACGAATTGTGATTGAGCAAAAAGAGAAAGAGATCATAAATGTTTTAAACGATAATCGTAAATTGAAAGATGTTCTGGAGAACTACGAAAATCAATTAGATCCAAATTTTTCCCGCCAACAAGATTTGCAAAAGAATGCTCCAATTTTTGTTTCCTTATTTTGGTTATTCTTTTAAGGACTATTATTGAGACTCTGATGAAAGACAAGCTTATAGCTATCCTATCCATACTCATATTGAAGGAAATCAGCCGTACTAATGAATTGTTTTGATATTAGAATGTATTTATCTCGCGTTGGTTAAATATATAACTGCTCTATGGTCACTGGCAAAATTAATTTTGACCCAGATAAGATAGTTTATGTATTACATAATTTTAAAATTTTGATAGATCGTTGCAGGTATTTTTTAGGTCCTAGCAAAATCAACGCTATATACAACTATTCTCTACAGTACTACATTATTTTTGCTACATTCATAACTTTTAAAGTGATAAGAGTCTCACGTGTAAGCGTATTTTCTTCTACAATTGTCGTATGCTATCAATTACTACTTGCATTGTAATCAATCTGTAATTATAATCAAGTAAAAGCTTGAAAAACTAAATTCATTTTCTTATTTTATAGTTTGATATTTTTCATACTGTACATAAGCAAATAAGAGTCATTATGGATACTTTTGTCGGCGTTAACACCCCACTTTCATGATATGCACGTATGCTAAACTCAACAGCTAAATCTGCAAACGCCAGAATAATTTCTACATAGTGCATGGCTGTATAATAATTCTGTATTGGAACTGAAATTAACTGACTACTCTGAATGGTTCCTGACTACTAAGAGGACAATTAGAAATACCTGTTTATCTTAGCCTACTTATTCCCTACTTAATTCAACCGCTACATAACTAGCACTATTAGTTAGTTCAATCTAGATGTGCTTTATGTACTGTAGGTGATTATTTCGCAGTCCAGATTCTTTAAGAAGGGTATAAATGTTCACATTAATCCAATGAAATCCATAATGTATAGTGACCACTGAGCAATTTACAGTTCAAAGAATTTATATTTTGCCAAAGCAATCCGGCTAGCGAGCAAATTCATTACTGATACTATTTATATTACATAATGATGAGGATTTTCACATATCATGAACGAGTAACTTTGTCAATAGGGATACTAATTTCAAAGTCTTTGGCAAAATGATTGATCATTCAACAAACTGTAACTTATAAATTTGAGAAAATTACTATTATCTGTGATTATATTTCTCCATTACCATTAGTTAGTCTATAACATAGGCTGCATATGGTGATGTTGCTACAGTTTTAACGTTAAAAATTTGTTTTTGTCAATTTGACGATAGTCTACTGCGTCTTCTAGAGGCTGGATAATAATTTTTATAACGGAATCATTATAAACATTATTCATTCATGAAAGTAGTGGCATTAAATACTACAGCAGAACGGAAAGAGTCAAGACTATGGTGTATGCATTACCCATAGAAGTATTAACCTCCCCACATTTTTTTATGGTATTTGACTGCATTTATTTCCCTTCAGTGCATATAAAAATTCCATCCTTACAGTTATTGTATTATTAAAAGGAGATATACAGTAAATTGCAGGGACAGATATACAGCAAATATAGTTACAACCAGCTATAGAGTGTGGGGAGGAATTAATTAATAGGTAAAGATATATAACCGTTGATAGACGATCAAATTTGATAATGAAGTGATTCAAATAAACGACTTATTACAAAGTCTTCCTATAGGCATTAGGGCTTCCACCAGAAATATTTTCATCTGATAAGCAAGCTAAAAAATAATGATAAATCTAATGAGAATCTTTCTTCTACCCGTACACGAACAGAGTAGAGAAAAACTAGTTTAATCACACACCTGTATGGATATCCGTGATATTTTGATCGGAATATAGATAGCAGTAAACTAAAGAAAAATATCACGATGCCCAGACCAGCCATAGCAAACACTATATAGGAAATAGTAAGAAGACTGTATCAGTTTCGTACAGCTGATGAAAATATTATCGAAATTGTCCATGCGCTTACGTTGTTTCTTGCGTGAGTCGTCTGTTGTCGGCACTTTCTCGTTCAGTATCAAAACGCCAAAAAAAAATATTACATCTTTACGGAACATGAAGTTAAGGATTGTTCGGCAAGTTATCATTAGTAGACAGCTTTTATCAACATGTAAAGACAATCCATTCAGGAAACTTATTCTATTGACTAATACATATAGTTTTCTGAAGACTCTATGGAATACATTCAAACTTGATTTAAAAGGATACATAAAATCGCAACAATATGAGTTTCAACGATAAACTGGCCCTGACTACCACCATGGAAATAGGAAATTTCTCCGGTTTGAGGGTTGCGCGGAGCGTAGGGTGGTCCACGTATATGATTCCACATTTGTCCCGATGTCATACAGTATACGATAAACTAAATGAAGGACAATAAGAGAGCAACGTCAGCTATCTATCTAACGTAGAAGCTACCACTGTACTTAAAGTGATCATCGTATCAAATGCGATGAACGCAATACTCTAACTAGATTATTAAGAACTTGGTTAGAAAGTGAACCAACTTAATAGCTAAGTCAACTCACCAGTGCTGCCATAGCCCAGTAAGATTTGTTGTACAAAAATTCTAAATTCTTTCGCCTCATGTACAGCAAGCTGCCAATGAGTGTGAGAAGAAAACCGAGAGCTAATGTACCGGCATAGTTTGGTGGCCTAAAGACGTGGATCTAATGAAATGGTATGATAAAGTTAGAAGACTCTATTGCCACTTGGACCTGATAGTGTATAACCTACAAGTATGTTACTTACATGGATGTCAGTTCTTTCACCTATCCATTTAGCCATGCCTTCAGCAGATATTCCATGCCTGTTTAATATAAACTTATGTTGATAAGCAGGTCCGTCACCCATGGTTGTGATTGATTACAATGTAGTCAACAGTGCTCCAGCAGCAACAAGTCTCATAATCATCGGAGCAGTTTACAACGCTACCCTATATGAACCCCACTTGATCATTACGTTAATGTAGACCTAACAATGTATTCAATCCTTCCACTCGTGTAAAGAAGAATTTATCATGTGCATTTTACTAATGAATCATTTCGTAGTAGTAGAAGTAAAGCGCTAGCAGTAATAACAAATTATTACCTTTGTATATCAAACGTATCTGCTTTCTTTCGACCGCCTCGAGGAGGAAAATGGATAAAGGTAGGGGCAGATTGTAACTTGAGCTATTTGATCCAATTGGGTTGCATTAGGAAAAGTTGAAATAGGTCTTAGGTGACAGAATCGTCATGAAGATTTTGTGCATGTACATTTTACAACCACAGTTTGTTAACAACACTTTGATTCTACCAACAAGTGTGTAAGATACGTCATAAGTGATAATGATGTATTCCTTACCGTAGCGAATACATCCTGGCCCTCATCAAAATCTACTACAGCAAAGAAAAGTTTAGAAGAATACATTTGCGACGTTCTCCATGAGTCAGCGACAACCTTATATTCATCGTTTGCGACCCTGTCATATGAAATAGGCAAAATAGCGTAGAAGGAATATTACAAATCAAGCGGATCGGAATAGCATAAGCCACTAGACAGAACCTAGTCAGTAAAGATAGGATACTAACTGTAATCTACTGTAATACAACTATGACTACTTGCATATTCTTTAAACAAAGTATCCAGAGTTTTCTCAGTAAGATATTGTACCACTTGTAACGTAGAGTACTTTATCCAGATTGATTACAAGATTATTTTGCAACTAAAATGGAGCATGTCTGCAAACTGTTAACTTAAAGAGATCAAAGCATTTCATGATCTCGTATGATAGAGCAATCTCTTCCGCAATATACAAACATGATTGACTGTTATTCTTCATTCTATCATGATTTCATTATCATGTTATAAGCTGAATTGAATTGAATTGATGACGGTGAACAACCTGCAAATGGAGCATTGACGTTGAGGAGCTAACGCCGTCAACATGACGATGACGGAATAATTTCGAGGTCCACTTTTGATGTAAGTTTTAAACTTTTCGCCATTCATACGAATAATCGATCGTCTCATATTCCATTCTAATAACTGCTTGATTTTATTATTTAATTGAGCCTATCAAAAGAAGATGGTAAAAGTTGAGTGGCTTACACGGAAACGACAGGACCGCATCAAGCTTTGGCAGATAGGTTTGTCGATGAGCAGACTGGCCTGACTGGTCAACTGCCGGTAGCATCGATAACCCGCCAGAGTAGCGATCGACCGATTGGGCCAACTACTGTACATCTGTAGTCTTGTTTTTATCCTTCTAGCAAGGATGCATCCATGCTTACCTCTTTCTTTTCTTTCTTTTTAGCACTATCCGACAAGCCCCATAAGGAAATGATGACTAAAAGTGTCATTACTAGCCAGATTTTGTTGTTCGCCATGTTGGCTAGTTTTGTATCGACGAGCACTGGTCTGTCGTGGCCGGTTAGAACAGACCCTTGCTAGTCAATACATTACTACGCTTGCTGTGGTATTCAACACAAAGTCATTGACAGCTAAGGGTTAACGACTCCTCATGGATTTGTTCCAATATTCAATCCAGCCAGATTCTTTATCCACAATCTTGATGAAAAGAATGTCGCTTATCTATATCAATTTAAGTGTGTATTAGTGACATTCATTTTGCTAACAATTTATCCAAGATGTGCAGTACAGTAGGAGAAAAAACATACCAGGACTTGAACTTCAGTTGGACGGACAGACATTGGACTTGATTTTGCCAAGAAATGGTATCCAACACTTCATTATCATAGTACTTTAGTATGGAGAGAGTGGATTCTGAAAGGACTGATTTTTACTCGGTTCATTTTACATTGCATTCCATTACCTGTTACTAAGCTCTACGTAGAAGGAGTCTATTTCGATCATGAATGTTATTTAAATGAGTACAAGTGATTTAGAAAACAGGCACGAAAGATCCATACTGAGTCACTATTTTTCCCACATTTTCGGCCCAATATGGTATGCAAAGTCCGTCCATCCGAGGAGAGTTTCCAGTCCTAATTAGCAGTCGATGGAACGCTGAGTCTTGAGGGGGGAACATTACCGTCGAGACCCAGTACGGTACGGTCCGGTGCGGTCCGGTCCGGTACGGTACCGTAGACTGTAGTACTGTCCTGCTGTGAGACTGTTGCATTCTCCTTTTCATACTTGCAGTACGGTACGCTACTGTCATTGACTAGTGTGCACTACAGTACTCGATGCATCACTGTACTGTACAGTGTACAGTACAGTACTGTAGAGACCCTCTAATTTTAACAATACAGTACAGTACAGTACTGTAGATTGTCATGTCTCTCCTAGAGGGTCTCTACTGTAGTGTACAGTACATACTGTACAATACACTGTACTGTACAGCAGTGCTGCATACAGTACAATCCTGTTGTTGATTGATTGTTTATTCATGGCTTTTAAATGGATATCGCTAAGATGTAGCGGATCAATTCGATTACATGATAGATCCATTTTATTTTACTTTGCTTTTGTAGTAGTCTATGGCTATCGTCTCATTTTTTTGGTGCTCGTGTGCTGGCTGTAAATGTATGATTACTATATGCTACGTGGCCCAGATAGTGTACCATACTGTAGAAGTGTGACGACATGCTGTACAGTGTACAGTGTACAGTACAATGAGCCTCAGTGACACTGGAATTGACTCGATAGACAACTGTACTGTACTGTACTCGAAGAAGTCCGTGTTAGAGATGGAAGTCCATGTCATCGACTGCTGGATTTTCCTTTTCTGGCACAGCACAGTAGTCCGTCCTTCACTCTGTACCACTACCGTACCGTGTCCACTCACTGTCCACTGTCCACTGTCCAGTGTCTAGTCCAGTCCAACGACGTGGTGTACACTGTACAGTACTGTACACTAGTCCGTCCTTCACTCTGTACCACTACCGCATCGTGTCCACTGTCGAGTCCAGTCCAACGACGTCGTGTACTGTACAGTAGGACAAAACTGGATTTTCCTTTTCTGGTACAGTACAGTACAGTATGTACTGTAGGACAATGCTGGATTTTCCTTGTCTGCTACAGTACTGTACAGTGTACACTGTGTGGACGGTAGTCCGTCCTTCACTCTACAGTACAGTATACCACTACCGTACCGTGTCCACTGTCCAGTGTCCAGTCCAGCGATGGAGTGTACTGTAGGACAATGTGCAAATGATCCTCTGTGGCGCTACAGATGTTCAACTCGTTCAAGCAAGGCAGCCGTTACTAACGGTAGGCTGTAGTCTACTGGATTGACGGTAGACCTGAACGTCAATTTGACGGTCAGTAGAGCCAGTGACATCGCCCGTGTCGGTTGACATGTGATGCGGTGTCACACCGCCTCTCCAACGAGCCATCCAAAGTATCACTTACCATTCTTGGCTGGCTGCATGAGAGCGAGCTAAAAGTCATTGAGCAGCAAGTGCGTTAGCAATCTTCTTATTGGACTTGAAAATGTTTCGAGTTGGTCTTCATTGCACTCGGCCTCTTCTTAGCGAGAAGACAGTTGTATCACGTTTTTCTCGCCCTTTAAGCCAATTACCCAAGTGGAAGAACACGGCCCGAATCGAAAATACAATTCGACATCATGGTTATGGACGTCTGTCTCAACGTTCATGCGTCAACTTTTATCCACAAAATGCTCCCAAGCAGACCAGGACTGTCTTAATTGGAGCGGGTGCTCTTGGATTAGGAGGTGTACTGGTAAGTCTAACTCGATGCATTCTTTCGCATACTTTGACTCTTGCATTTGGCTGTTACCTACAACTCTTCCACCTGTAAAATAGACCATAATGATGCAATTTGTTCAACATTTTGCTTTATCCATCTTGCTGTGCCATATTGCATTGGTGCAGGCATCATCAGCCAGTCCTTTTCTCTGTAGTCAAATTATTTTCCTCTCATGTTGATTGATCTTGTACATTGGATAGGATAAAGCAGATAGAGTACAGTGAATGCATGTTGATTGACCATCTTCATCGGATGCATTACTGTACACTGTACAGGTGTGTTGGCTTGCTAACATGGCCAATGTTCATACTATGCAATCGTTGAACTCGTCATGGACGAGAGTACTTGTCACATTGGCGCAAATGGAATCGACCAACGATGCCATTCCTTTACTTGTAGTCGCTGGTAGAGCCGGTCAATACTTTACTTTTGAATTTATACAACTTCGATTGAACTGGATATATATTAGGGCAAATAAAGTACAGCAAGGCTAGTAGTAGATGAGCCAAGCTTATCGGATCGATTATATTACTTCAACAGTATCTGCTATTTTGCATGGCCAACTTTCATACTTAATGAATATCATGCAGCTGCGAATCCGCATTGAGAGTTACCCTTACTAATTATTCTACAACTGAAGTTCACCTGGCCTGTCATTGTCCTGTACCATTTTCCATTAAGCTGGATAGGATAACTACAAAGTAGCGTATCTATTCAATAGATTGCAATCCTGTACAGTAGATGTAGCAACACCTATTCGAGGTCCGATCTTGTATTCCATATACTTTATCAAGAGATCGTCATTACTGGCCGCAGCTCAGGTAGGCTAACCATCTATCCCATGGATTCAGTACTATTTCCAACACTGAACCCACCTGTAATATGTAAAGAACGCAAATTGATCTAGCATAACCATCTGATATTCGCACTACAGTACTGCAGAATAGCTGCCGTTATACGTATGCATACCTTGGAAATTTTCCTACTGCACTGGATGCTAAGCGAGTAAGCGTTCTATGACTCGATCCTATCTCAGCGTACTACTCATTCATGCCTATAGAACGATCATTTCTTAGATCAGTAGCATGTCGTACAGTAGCAGTGACACTGGGTCAAATTACTAGCAGGTCTGTCTAATTTTTCCACTGGAAAAGAAAACCTTGTCATTAAATGGTTCATTGCCCCCAATTTGATAGGCAAGCAAAGATGAACAGTTTTACCTATTGGCACTTTTAGTCTAGTAATGACAGTATACAGCATATCAACCAAAGTGAATAGTATACAGGTCTATGCTACGAAAGACCAAGATCGAAGGTAATAGCATAAATTGCATTGATGATCGTACCTAGAGCCTATCTTCTGAATTGATATAGCTAGTCATTCTATCCAACCAAGATGGTGCCCCTCACAAATAAAACTACGAGTACACTCAAATTCGCTAATGACTATCTAATTAAATACTTCAAATTGGGCGACATAAAATACCACTGACAAAATCCTTTTACCCTATCTAAACAAGAGCATTAATCTATGGTTTGGCGTCATGTTAAGTGATGATATTGGGTTGAAATAACGATATGGTCATGAAATAGATTTGCCTTCAACAATATTCTCTTTTCCTTTCATTAGTTTTATTTTACTGGACCCTTTTCTTCTGAGTCAGCTAAAGTAGAGAAGAAAGCTGTAGACTCGGCAAAATCAACAGGTTTGTGAAACAACCACTTCTTGTTTATGGAAAAATAAGTACCTTCCTACTTTAAATTCATCGCAGTAATGATAAAATTAATTCGAGTCCATTCCCATTTGGTAAATCGTTGTAATTGCCTTAATACTTTACTTATACTTTTACTCTGAAATGTAAAGAAACTGAAGTTGACGAAAGCGAGGAGCAACCCGTGGCAGAAGAAACGGAAGGGAAACCTGCTGAGGAAACTGAAAATCGTACCGAAGTGAAGAAAGAGACGGAAACAAAAGAGAATGCCGATTCGTCTTCCCAACCACCGGAAGCATCCTCGGCGACGGATACACAAGACAGTACGCAGGCCGAAGCTACAGAGCAACCGCCTGTTGACGAAGGCCCTCAGATACCGGAACATGTTACATATATTCTAATTGGTGCAGGTACCGCCTGTTATTCTGCATTCAAAACAATTAGCAAAAGAGATCCGAAAGCTAGGGTAAGATAATCATACTGATGCTGCTAATTAATTATATGTGTACGATTGTTAGCTATTAGTAGAATTGAATGATTATTATCAAGCGCTCTCCGTACAAAACGATAACTTTGATTGCCCAGAATAGAATCATCAGTTATCCTGAGAAGGATGGCATGAATTTCAGAAAATAAAGTCCTAATCATTTTCCTATAAATATAATATAAAATTTGGATAGATCCTTTTGATTGGTGAAGAAGACTATGTACCGTATATGAGACCGCCACTTTCTAAGGAATTGTGGTTTAACGAAGATGCTAATGTTGCAGAAACTCTAAGATTTGTGCAGTGGAATGGTCGTGAGGGAGGGTAAGTCAAACTAGGTTCTATTTTTGCGTATGCTTATCTCGTTCTAATTCAGTAGTCAAATTGTCCATCAATTCTCCATTTCATCGTTATCTAACCAATTGATCCTTGCAACAGAGTTTTTTATCAAGAAAAGGATACTTATTTAACTCCCAAGCAACTAGCTGAAGGCCAAACAGGTGCTGCGGTTATCTGCGGCAAGAAGGTTATTTCAAGAATTTGTTTGCATTCATCAATATTACATATGGAAATTAAATCACTAGCAATTATTAGGTCGTTGGTATCGATTCTGTCGCTAGAAAAGTAACACTAGATGACGGTACTCGAATTGGCTATGACAAATGCTTGATCGCAACAGGTACAATACTCTATGATTAGAGTATCAGTTTCACGAAATACAGATATTCTACTGCGCAATTGTAACATAATCTGCTGTGGCCGTACAAAATTCATGATAATATTATCCAATCGGTTTATTTATTACGTGAATCTATAGCATTAGTTACAGTAATAGCCAAAAGATGAAACACTTTAAATCATCTACAAAAGGATAGAGTAATAATTAATCAATATAACAAATACTTTTCAATTTTTAATTATAGGTGGTTTTCCGAAAAGTTTACCTATATTTAAAAATTCTCCACAGGAAGTTAAAGACAAAGTGTCATTTTATCGTAATGTTAGTGGATATATCTTAATTTCTTGTAATTCATAATTTCGAATTTTTTGTTAAAGTACTCATCATAACCTCTTTGTCCCTATCCTACTTTAGATAGCAGACTTTAAAAATCTTGACGGTATCGTACGTAAAGCAGAGAGTGTTACAATAGTTGGTGGGGGATTTTTGGGCAGCGAATTGGCCTGCGCATTGGCACGAAGAGGTCAGCATATGATCATGTCGATCAATCAATAACTTTTACTTAATCTAGAATATCTACGACATTCTTAATAGGCATTTAATTTAAAGAGTATATGTTTAGAATAGAAGGAAATATATGTATATATATATCAATCAAGATATTTACTGTACTTAGGTCGCTCTACTGGATTAAAGGTCCACCAAGTATTCCCAGAAGAGGGTATCTAACGAGTACTTTTATGCTTAGCAGTATAACTACGGTTTTATAATATGCCATGTATTTTCTGCCATGACCTAGGTAATATGGGTAGAGTTTTCCCCAAATATCTATGTGACTGGACCACAAAAAAAGTTGAAGAAGAAGGTGTTCATGTTATTCCTAATAATACCATTTCAAAGGTTGAATTAGAAGATAATAAAGTCTCTCTGTCACTAAAGTCTGGTGAAAAAGTATGTCACTTGGTAACATAACGATTTATGCAAAATTCAATTACTAATTACTAATTTCGTTTATACAGATTGCTAGTGATCACGTTATACTTGCTGTCGGCTTGGAGCCAAATACAGAGTTGGCATCATCTGCACAGTTAGAAGTTGACGATAAAGAAGGGGGATACAGAGTCAACTCGGAGTTGCAGGCTAGAAGTAATATATGGGTGGTAAGTTACTTTCCGTCTTTACTTGTCTGGAGTGTCTCAACGTTTCAGTTATAGTTTAACCGACAAAATAGCAATTGTGACGAGACCAACCTGTTTTAGGTACGTAAATTTAGCCTTTGTGCATAATTTTAACCGCATTGACCGTTATGTTAGGCTGGTGATGCAGCTTGCTTTTATGATATCAAACTTGGACGAAGGCGTGTGGAGCATCATGATCACGCCGTTGTCAGCGGTAGACTAGCTGGAGAAAATATGACAGGAGCAGGGAAACCGTATTGGCATCAATCCATGTTTTGGTAGATTTGCATTTATTTCAATGACACACAAAGTAGTACAGTACGTTGATGTTGCTAATGTTTATGTTACTTTGTCAACTGATATTGAAGGAGTGATCTTGGGCCACACATTGGGTATGAGGCTATTGGCGTAATTGATTCTTCCTTACCGACTGTTGGTATATGGGCAAAAGCTACGAAAGCGGATTCACCCAAAGCAGTTGTAGAGGCATCAGACGATAATATCCGCTCTACAGCACAAGAGGTAAAGCAGTAACGCTGGTTTAAAAATATTTGCCAACCCTTTTTAGTAATTGATAATTTTCTGTTATTGCGTCTTGTTCAGGACGCAGCACCTGAGACCCCTGCTGTAGCACCAGAAGCTAGCAGCAACTCTGACGTTCTTAATAGTGAGAAGTTTGGTAAAGGTATTGTATTTTATACAAGAAATGATGTAGTTGTTGGTATCATCATGTGGAATACTTTCCAACGTATGCCAATTGCTAGAAAAGTAAGTACTCTTAGGTGACATATCCGTAAATAGTTACGCAGAGTTATTTTTTATATAAAAAAGGATTTTAATTTGTCAAATATCTAGAAACCTCTAGCAACCTCATATAAGTAATGGTGTATAGCTGATCTGCTTTAAATATCTCACGTATGCCTTAAAACAATTCTCTTTAAACCAGGTATTGAAAGAAGGCAAAAAATATACTCCAAATGAACTTCAAGAGTTAGCCAAGCAATTTAACATCCTTGGCCAGGAATAAATATAAAATTCTAGCTGCCAAACAGGCTACAAAAGCAAAATATTCGTATACATCATGGATATTGAACAAATGGGCATGTATCCTCGGTCCAGTGGTTGGCTAGGAATTATTCTAGTATAGTAATTATTATTAATTATTCAGCGGATATTCTTTTTGCATCACAGTAAAATTGCATAAATTAAATGTATCAGTTAGGGCTATTTTTGGAGAAAATAAAGCGGCTTTTGCACGATTCTTTCGTTATCCAGTTTACGTTATAGTCAGAAGTAAACAATTATTTTTCTTGTTGCTGAACACTTAATGTAGCTAAATCATTCTTAGGCCAAATTAGGCTTTTCACTTTTCACTGAGAACTTGTTCCAGTAATTGTCATCAACTACATTGAAAGGTACAGCGGACGATACAAGATCTTGAAAAGAAAGTGTAACCAAAGGAGCCGCAATATTTCTTAAAATAGAAAAGAAATTGTAGCATAATAACAAATTAGCATTACAATCTGATCCTAGCTTTATTTGTATAAAAATAAACCTTTAAGATTTGTGCTTTAATTTTAATAGTAGAAACACATAGAATAACATTAAAATATGATACTAACTCCTTCGTATTGGTTGAACTGTCATCAATGCTATCGCGCGGGCGAAGGGCCACAGCTACTAAATGCTATAATAGCAAATTTGATTTAATAGCTCAGAATTTGACCCTGCAGTTAAATGAATTCGTAGACAACTCAATTTATTCATCTGGTGTAGCGATACCTTTTTGTTTACTTTAGACTCTTCGAATATCCATTTCTCCTGTAGCTTTCCATCCACATACAGCGTCGTATTTGTTAAAACACCCTGATAAAGTAAATTTTTTGAATAGTACAGAAGGTTTGTCAATCTTGGATGATGTACTTAATGTATACTAGAATTCTTTCAGTTAGGTCAGGAATGATACTATCGATAATTATAATACGAGTGCACAATGTTGTTACTTTACATCGTCTGACGTATCATACCATTACCATTAGTTACCGGCAATTTAGTCATTTTGCAAAATGATTTTTTGCAAGTGATTAGCATAAAAGCTGCACTATGAAATAACTATTTACCTTTTCGGGAACGTCATCTTCCTGTGGATGAAACTCAAAAGCACGAAGATCATTGGCGATACCTATTCCTAATGCTTTAACGTAACTTTCTTTTAGACACTAACAGATATAATCCAAAGATCAACGTATGGTTCAGCAAAAATCATTACAACAAATTACGCAATCAATCATCAGAAACAATTTTCATCTTATGGTTGTCTTTACCCAATGTCTGTAGAAAGCTTCTAATTGTTCCTCTTCAGTAAAAAATTTCCTAATGCTCCTCCATTCATAATCCGTGAATTGTTTCCGCATAGTATAAAAAAATTGATCAAGATCTTCTTTGCCTAGTAATTAAAATAAACAGCTTAATATCTTGTAGGCTAGTTCTAGCAAAGTTTCACCAAAAGTGAGTGAGCTTGTCATAAATCGAACCTATAATTTATTGTAACTTACCAAGCCAATCAACTTTCATAACGTCGATTCCCGCTGAAAACGGTAAAAATATCATTTAAAATATTGGTTATAATAAAGTTGCTTATCACTGCGTTCTCTAGCGACTATAGTGAATCAGTTATAACAAGAGATTGATTTAGACTTAAGGCTAAGTCTCTATATATCTATGAAATATGCAGAGGAAATGGTATAATATTGGATATCAATGCATTAATATTAACGCTGTAATAGCTAAAAATGGACAACTTACTCTCGAACTGGAAAGATGCACTTAACACGGTAAAGTCTCCCTAAATAAATGAGTACAGCCGTATTAAATATAAGCATCGATAGATAATGATTTACGATTTCATCGTCATTATTAAACTTCAAAATAATCGATACAAGGACTAATTATGCAAATGACTAGTGCGGTATTTACAGGAATTTCAATCCACTGAGCATTCCATGAATACATTCAATTAATTATTCCTAATATTACTCTAATTTCGTGGCTAATATCACGTAAGAATAATTTTATATTTTAAACGGCATATACGGCATCATCAAAATCTACAGAATACTGCAAGTTTCGTTTATTTACTGCATAATAGTGGAATGCGCTTCAAATAGAGCCTCACCTGATGGGATACGTTGAGTGATAAGTTGGAATTGTCTCCGACCTAGCATAAACAACCCAAAGTGGATAGAAATGATCATTGCTGTTAAAAACTGATCTTTTAGTTTTGAACAAAATTATACACTCTAGTTATAGCCAAGCACCGAAAACGTAAAAATGAGAACTTAATATTTGATACTACTGTGCGAGTATAAATATGAGGACGATATACACAAGAAATAAAACAGCGCATACACATAGATGTGTTCATTTCACAAGAGCGAGATATATAAATTAGCACCAAAATTGTAAAATGATGACATTAACGTTGATACTACACTTTTAGTTAAAATTGCATCATACCCATTACACATAAGGAATGACGTTTATGGTATAAATTTTAGTGATGGGTAGCATTCTATTATCCATTGCAATTAAAAACTCAATTTGCAGTGATAATATGTTCTGTGTAGTTCTATAAATAGCTCATCAATAGAGGCAAACTGTAATCTAGCCGTAGATTACTATTAAAATCGCACAATGGGAACGTTAACATTTGATGCCACATTTTCAGTTAAAATTACATATTATACAGTACAAAGATGTGATATTGCCTATACTGTATATTTACATTACTGATGAATAGTAAAGTATAGCAAAACTAAAGAATTTATTTGCAGTCATTTTGACCTCACCAGAACAGGTTTTCCCTTATCAGTCCTATCAAATCGAATCCTGTCATAGGGCAAATGCAATAAATCGTGGACAGCTTTCCTCAGTAACAATCGACCACACTATTTAAATAAAAATTAATAAGATTAGTCATCAAGTTGTGATATGCTGGCATAAATCGGAAGCGAAGCAGTCTAGCAGTCCCACTGAACTATCATAGCGCAATTCGTATTAGCATACCCTAATGGATTATACTGTAAGTTGTTTGTACGCGTCTGTTTTATAACTGAAAGAAGGGAAAAACGCCCGAGCAAATGCAGTCGCCCCGTAGCTTCTGCAATTGCAGCCGTACTACAAATCTTATTGCTATGTCATCATGATTGTCTAATGCATACCAATAAGATGGAACAAAAATTTCTTTCGATGTATTTGCTGACGTTACAGTACAGCCAATCGAATATGCATCTAGGATTGACCTTAGCATATCCGTATATAACTTGCTAGTATGCACACTACTCAGTAATGACAGCTACTTACCAAACTTGCTTTTGCATCACGCTTAAACATAAACTGACTAATCCTATTTGCTTCTTCTTTTTGTAAACAACTTGCAGCCAATATCCATTCCTAAACAATACGAAAAATAACAAGGTTTAACTACTGCGGTTAGCAAGGTCGTCATGATGCCCAGCTACGACTGTCATTTCAATCCTGCATGACGTATTCTCAGACTGAAAGTGTTAACGATGGGTTTCAAATTGATTTACATCTATGCTGGATGAGTACAATCTTATTTTGCAGTAAGAGAAGAGAGCCCCTCAAGGCAGTCCCCACCATGCTATAGAAGAGCACAACTATCATGTTCTTGATTAAAAGCTGCAGCAAGCAAGCACACCCAGTCAGAGCTGAGTTGCTCATGCTGCACAACTAGAATATCGTCTTGGCGAGCTACAACCTCTTTACTTGGCTGCCATTGGCTGTAATGAAAGGCCCAACGAAGAGACATAGTCCTAGCAAAATGATGATGAGATCGCAAAACTTGTCTACACCAATATGTTATTAAATTAGACTTAATCATCGATAGATCATGCAATCGATCAGCGATTGTTATGATCTGCGATCATCTAGCAATTTTGATGTTAGGGCAAGAAACTAAATAATATAGTCGCGGTTCGTTCGAATAGTTAACTGTTTCAAACACTCCAATTTAGTAGTACACACAGTATAACAGGTATTGAGTTTTCTCAGTACAGTAGCAAGACAACTTTTTGGCTGTTTCCATGACGTCATCAGCACGAGCCATACACAAACTTCAACTACAACCGTTATTGATACTGTGCGCTATAGTGCCAGCTACAGTATCAGTCAAATGACTAATAAGTCACATGACTAAGGAGTCACATGACTAATACGATTTCGTTTGAGTAAGCCACATACAAAAGTGACTCGCATGCTCAGACACATGACTCATTACTATAGTAATCCAATGTAAGACATCGTTGCTATGGTAGCGTATTAATGTCGAACCTGTAGGACCTAAACGATTGCAAATCCCAATCGCTTAAACTCAATTTCTTATTGCCAGCTAAAATCAGTTTACAGTATGTTTACACTATCTATCTTGGATCATACAACTTGTGTGCTTAGACACTAAACTTATTACCATAGTAATCCAAAATAAGCCATCGTTGCTGTGGTAGCACATTAAATGTCGAACCTGTTAGGTGCTGTAAATTATTGCAAATTCCAATCGCCTAAACTCAATTTCTTATATTGTTAGCTAGAATCAGTCTATGTATCTATCACCGATCATATGTAATATATCGCTAGTAAAGGTGATAACTTTACCGAGGGATATTTTCATTTTAGTACAGTAGGAGAAAATCGATTCAGGAGCCATGATGAAATGATGGCTTGCATTCATCCCAGGATATACAGTATATTGAGATTCTAGACTACTGGATGATCAATAAAGTCGCTGCAAAGACGATTTATAGTCATTAAATCAGCTTGCTTCTTTATAAGACTATAGTAAAGACAAGATCCGTTCCAACTAATGGTATAATTCTCTGTTTTTGATTTCAAGCCGGTTCGCTGTGCAAAATTATATCACTCTCAACCTCTGTACACCTCTAAAATATCCATAAAATACATGATGATATCAATTGTCTGATCAGACATGACTTTAGCACGCAATGCAAACATATCGATGCTGAACCTAAAGTACGCAAATTGGACTGAGTAATTAATACTGTCCCATCTCTACCTTTAGCCAATGAGAGCATAGTATTGGATTTCGACATCAATTGGCCAACGACTGAGATACAAAACAGTCTCCTTTCTCGACTTGGCTGCCATTACTGCCAATTCCATCACTTTTACTTGCTTTGACGTCGATTAAGTTGATTTTTCCATAGAATAAAACTGTTCTCTTGCTGATTGATCATGGATCGATTCATGTGGGTAACCACCATCTCCTTGATAAAGGGGGAATTTGAGGTTATACAGAAACATAACGTTCGAATCTATGATGGCGATAATCGTGTAAGTAGGGCCAGTTATTCGAATTACAAGGCTGACGAAGTGAAAGGAATCTTTCTGTAACGTTGCTTCAAGGCAGATCATGCGTAAGATCTGCTATAGCAAAGGATACTATAGGTTATACAACATCAATTTTAGATTACCAGGGCTAAATCATCTGCCTTGTAGTGTAGTTGGAATCTGATCGCGATTCATTGAAATGACGTTAGCTGTCCTCCAGATCATCATGATGGTGATGATGATGGATAGCCTTGTTATATGATGAATTAATCAACTATCGTAACTATTGAATTGAATTAAATTGCGATCTTTTTAACTCCTCGTAGACAAATTTCGACTGCGGGACATTAAGACTTACCAGTCATCAACTTATATGGGATGATCAGTTGCAAGTAAGTAAAGCCCTCTTTACGAACGCAGTATGCTAACAAAGTTGGGTAAACGCTACCATAGTAATAATAATATTATAAGAGTACATGTTGATTGCACTGATTACTCAGTTGCAGATCCATTACTGATGCAAGTGAGTAAAGTTTTCTCTATTAAAAAGCAATCTATACTTATACAGTAAGGTAGATGGTATAGGACGTGTTTCTTCAATTGATTGAAGCACTTGAGCCAACCTTGTATTATTAATCACTGTTATGACTATGGTCTGTGTCGTATACGATGTTCTGAATGTTGGCTTAGCTTGCTAATGCAACAGTAATTACTAGGTGGATTGATACAGCATACTTTGCAGTTTAGAATATTTTTATGTGCAAATGTACCATGATATAACTATTGAGGTCGTAAGATGCACCACCATTACTCTATCAATGACATTGATATACCATTGTTAATAACAGGATCGTACAATCTCCTTGGGCTTAAATCTCGTGCAAAAAACGGAGGAAGTCATAGCAGGTTTTAACAGAAGGTAAGAAATGCTGCGAATCTGAGAAAAGATAGATAGTCCATAGTTTGTTAATGAATGAGTTAGTAATCTATGGTACAGTGTTAAAATTCCAACATATCGCTTAACCTATTACTATAGTATTCAATTGTAAAGTATCTAAAATTATGTAAAAATTACCTGGATTAATTTCTATCTTGGAATGAATAACAGTCTTCCCCGGAAACACATTAGTACGGATAGTATAGTTTATATGAACTAAAATGAATTCTAATTTTTTGATGGATCTCGTGAAAATACAGTAAGATCTTTAGCCTCAATCCTGCTACAGAACATGCTCCAATAGAAATACTATATGTGCACCTAACTTATATCATACCTTTAAAATATCTCAATGGATGAAATCAATAAAATTGATTGTTTTAAATTTGCCTTCATATTTGATTATTGCATGCTATCAATAGTGCGAAAATTATATTGTATCTTCAATCAAAACCTACAAGCCAAGAGCCTGGGCCAAAGATTAGTAGTCAATTCAATTATATACGTTTATCTTTTCGCGCTGGTGGCCAAAGCGAGGTAAAAAAAGTCATGCTATCAATTACTTTATCCATTAAAGGTGAAATAAATGCAATGCAATAACATCCTATCCGATCTTGTATCAGTATTATGCTGCCTTATGTAATCAATTGTCTCGAAAACGTTGGATTACTCAAGTAACTAACCAGCGCCAAGCTACTCGTCCAAGCGGAAGACATATGGGCATTGTTGGAATTGAACGTAAAATCGAACAGAAGCAAAAAGAAACTCAAAGCACAATTTCTCAGGTTGTGAAATATTTATTAATGAAGAGTGATTTAATTAATTAAAACATACGATATACGTATTAATTAAGCTTATCAAATGGCATTTATGTTTTGATTTGTTACAGGCATTTTCTGATTTAAATGCTCTAATGGACAAGGTTTGGCACATACTCGTATATATACACAAACATCAAAGTAGCCGTATAATTTCCATTATCCATATTCCTATCATTTTATAGGCTAAAGAAATGGTAGCCATCGCTGATCGTGTTGCAAAGAAAATTGAAGAAAAGAAAGGGCAACTATCCGATGACGAGGTTAGCAGTCAATAGCTCCTGTAGGCCACAATCATCCAATAGTAACAGTATTGTGTAGTTATCGTTGTTGACTATTAATTAATCTTTATCTAGACGGTCCAATTCAAGTCTTATTTGCTCAGTATGGGTATTAACGATCCCGTTACCAGGTAGCACAATAAACACCTTAAAGGTATCAATTTATCAATGCTAATAACTTTTCAATCTTTGAATTGCTCAACCATAGAGAGGAGCATGGATACGGCAACAAATATCATGAAGAGCTAGCAAAACAACTTGCGACATTTCTAAAAAGTTTGATCGAGGTAAATGCCTTTATACATATAAAAAGGTAAACCCTTTATGAGTAGTATATTATAAAATTACTATCCTTCCTTTATTTTTTGTGTAGAAATCAGATGGATTGATGACTTTGACCGATGTTTACTGTATGTATAATCGCGCAAGGGGTATTGAGGTAATGCGATAGAATTTTATAAGCGAGTCACTATGTGTAGTACTTCTTGACTCAATGCACTTATTTACTATCTCGTAGCTGGTTTCTCCTGAAGACGTATTTATTGCTTGCAAATTGTTTGAATCACTTAAGCTGCCTCTCAGGTATTGCATTACATTTATGCCAATAACCATCTGTCACTGTCTTACATTTTTTGTTCCATGTAATATTGTATTTGCCTTTAGACTACGAGAATTTGATAGTGGAGTGCTGGCAGTACAATCGGAAAGTCATAGTGTAGAAGTGATTGTGGAAAAGATAACTAAAATTGTCAGTAAATCAAAAGTCCTCATATTAGATTAGCTTTATTTCAGCCTTTATCCTAAGTACTTTAACTTTCATTGTAGATTAAGAGTAAAGGTTGCATAACTGCGGAAGAACTGTCACCGTTAGTAAAAACCTCCATTACTGTCGCCAAAGAAGGGTAAGTCCGCCACTATGTAAATTTAATTTTATTTCCTGCTTAATACTTTTTCAATACAATTAATTATTCTTTAATCTTTATAGATTATCAGCTGCGGAAAATTTAGGGATGGTATGTAGAGATGATTCGGTGGAAGGATTGAGATTCTATCTGAATAGATTTATGAAAGATCCTTGATAATTATGTACCTTATAAATTAGCAATATATATAAGATACCTGATTTCCAGATCTTGGTCTATAAATAGTATTATTTGAAAAACAGGAAACAATGGATAATTCAAGTTATTGTAAATAACCTGGTTTAATAATTATGGTTTGATATAATGTAAAGTATCGTCATTGATGAGAATGCAATACATCATCACCTAAAATAACTAATCGACTATATGATACGGACCTTCTATTAAAAAAGGAAGGCCAAATCTGTAAGAGGATTAAATAAATGACTCTAATCTAAGCGATCTAATACTCTACATGCTACTTTTCACAATCGGACATACGTGTATGTGGCTAATTTGTTGGATCTTATTAAGCTTGCTACAAAAAAAGTAATATCACCAAAATATTATGTTCTTAGCCGGTGTATCACCTCACTTGCATAACGTATTTCATATAAAAATTTGGTGGAGTGAGTTCTTTACGTTATTCTTAATGGCACTTGAATTGCTATGATTCGCTCCACCATTGATTTATTTCTTTTGCAGAGCTATAGTATGGAGAAAGGGAAATCGCTATTTACATTTCATTTGTTTAGAGATAGCGAATGTATAAATTTATGCGTACGAAGCATGTGGGACCATACGAGCATGCTAGAGGTCTCTTAAATTATGCCGATACAACAGAATGATATACTGGACATCTATTTGAATATACTGTTGCCTGGTTTCTAGTTATATCATTGATGCTCGCTTTAAGTTTCGTAACAACAGTCTATTGACGATATTAACAGTTGAAAATACTGCATGAATATTTGATTTAAAGGTAAATCCTAATCTTCTATACTTTAAATTTCCATTACCAGCAACCTACTTTTTGTAAGGAGATAATAATTATATAATCAGCATATCTGCAGTGTTTTATTAACCACCTACTAGCTTTGTCTGCAACTTCACAAGTAATGATACTAGATGCATGCACTTCAAGAAAGTAGCGATAACCTTACAAAAGGCAATTGGGCATAAAAGTACATCAAATACACTTGTCGATTTATTAATCGTGTCAGAAGATAGATAGACAAAACCACCCAATCTACTACAAAATTAAAATAATCTATTACATAAATGCAGCCAAATGATGGTAATAACAGAGGCAAAACAATGCTAGGATTAATCCTGACTTGAATTTTGAGTCCAATAAGAGTAATATCGAAAGTCAAAATTAGAGTAAATACACTATAAACTATAGAATTACTCGGCATTAGCTGAGCTTCTCCAAACTTCACTTAATGGTAAAAATCAGACATAAATATATCATTTCCATTTCTAATACATCATTGTCATTGACTTTAAATCCCAGGACTACCAAATACTACTCAGTACTTGCATCCAAATTTCAAGCCGTAGACTGCATCATTAACAAAGTTGTTGTTAACAACTTTGAGCAAGAATCTGCTATGCGAAACTGGGTTTAAAAATGCAAACTACTATTACTATTATTATTATTATTATTATGTTGATCGTCTGTATGACCACACAAGAAACATAACTGATTGATTGATAGGTTGTTCGGTTTGAATGAAATCAAGGCTATTATAATAGCCATAACAGAGGACATTCATTGATATTAGCAATCTAAAACCTGATATAGAATTGTTGAATACTGTAATGACAGGTTGAATTATTGGCGTTCGGTTAAATTAATCAGCTCTGAGTCCGTTTCCTTGTATATCTTCGATTTTCGAGGTTTCTTTGAGTACCATCTAACCCTAAAAGAATTAAATTGACAACAGTATTTAATTCTATTATAGTTTATTACTAGATCTGTTATTATTAGACTACATTTTATTTGGGTTATAATTATAATTATATTAATGAACGAAAGATTCATCGTCTTCGTTAGGTTCATTACTTACGTGTAATAAATAATAAAAAATAAAATTACAGCACAGCCAATACCAACAGCTAAACCAACGGCTAATCCTTGATTATAATTACTTGTCGGAGTACTAGTTGCAGCTTGGGACGTTGCTGCTTTGGTTATTGGTGTTTGCGTAGGAATGGCGGTGACGTTTGCACGGATTGCTCCCATAGCACTTACCATATGCAGATTGTTACCTCTGAAAACAGCAGACAGGACAGCACCTGGAAGAACACCTGACGCATTAACTGCTTGAGCATTTGGAGGCAGTTTGACGTAGAAAATTACAGTATTTATGTTCCTACCAAAGGATAATAGCGTTATTAAAATGATAAGCAAATAGTATCAATGAGTCCGCGACTAATAGAAATAGTAGACGATATTTGTCTTAATATTTTACCTTGACATTGAAGGATACCCGGGTCGGATTTTAATATTATCTGCACTGAAAGTAACTCTACAAATACATAAAAAGAAGCAATTTTGTTGATTTTTGCATAGTATAATATTGCAGGCTTCTATAATACAGTTCATTTTTAACGAATAAATTAATTCGATGTGTTTCATAGAGCAATCTACAACTATTGATTATAGTAATTGCAATAGTAATAAAATTATCTCAATCCATTAAAAATCTTTCCTATCCTCTCTCTAAAATTTCAGTAATGTATAAATGAATTAATTTTAAGCCATAATTTCGTTGATCCTTGAGCTACTGGTTAGACAATATGTACGCAAAAATAAATCTGTAATATTAGCGGCTAAGATCCGATTTACAAGATACCTATGATTTTTTAGTTTGCATTCTTGATAGGTTTCTTGACAGACACGTGTAACAGCCCTTGCTAAAGCTGCTTTAAACCTGGCGATGGAAGCTGCATTCCACTAATATTTAAACCATAACGAAAAGAATATCAACATAAAAAAATCGATGATATTGAATACTGTGTGATGCATAGCATAGAGAAGCAGGAGTAGATGATGATTGGTGTTGTACTCTGTTGTTAATTATCGCATGGGCATCGACAATCTCTAAAATTATTACCGGAGTAGAAGTTCGGTATTCAAAGATTGCTGCTACTGAATTTGCAACCTCGGCAGCATTTGGTGTTGGTGGTGTAGGAGGAACGTAATTCGAAGGAGCTATATCACAATTATACAATCATGAAGATAGTATAGAACTCCAGTTATGCAAAGTTAAAGTAGATTTGTATCAACTCTACTACTAAGTAAAGCAATGTTCGAAATAAACTAATAACAGGTATTTCAAGAAAGGAGTTATCGTATCATCAAGGTACTTTAATAAACTGCTATTTACTCACGTAGTTGACATTTATTATTTATAAACACCAAGCCAGATCGACAGATGCAATAATAGTTAGATGGAGTATTTTGACAAATTTCATTAGGTTGGCAAGCATGAGTTTGCATGGTACATTCATTTATATCTTGAATGAATAAATGCCGAAATAATAATCACACCCTTACCAAAATACAAGATATTTCTGACATTTTGTAAAATTGGAAATTATTTTAATCTGCCCTTTAGCAATAAATTCTAATTTATTACTACAGCAAAATTCTATAAGTAACCATGAAAAATTTCCTAATCATTCAGGATCTTGTGCTTACCAACACAAGTTCTTTGGTTAGCATCTATTTTGTAGCCTGGTCTACATAGGCAACGATAACTACCAGCTATGTTCAAGCAGTTGTAGGAGCATCCACCATTATTTACCGAGCATTCATCAATATCTATCGATGATGTCAATAAAATGTATGATTGAGGCATGTGGTGACGATTTATTTCAGGATATAGCATAAGATTATTAACTAAATGATAACTTACCGACGCAAGTTCCAACACTGGTTTTATTATAGCCAGTTCTGCAGGTGCATGTTTCATTTCCATCTTGCTCATAGCAGAAATGGATACCACATTGATTGGGCTGTTGACAAGGAGAACTTGCTAAAATTTAAATTAGCAACAATATAAGAAAAATTGTAACAATCGATTTGCAATAAATCCCACATATTCCATTTAAATAGACAAGTATGTTTCGATTTGAATCACTTTTATCCTCCACGTATAGGTTAATTACGATAGGAATGAGGTAAAGCAATAATCCTTTTAATATTGAACCGCCATTAAAGATGACTAGCCATTACCGTTGCAAGTTTTGTTGTCACTATTGAGGACATAATTAGCATTACATGTGCAGTTATAGCCACCCGGAAAGTTATTACATATTTGTTGGCACTTATTTGCAGAATTGCATTCATTAATATCTAAATGACAATGAATGAATTTGTTAAGTTAAGTAATTGCATAAGTTTATAACGGCAGTCATGAATGTTATCGATAAAAATCTTGTTGAATTGTATCATCAACTTTATATACTAACCTTTGCAAGTCTTTCCGTCAACATCCAAATAGTATCCTTTTGGGCATGTACAACGGTAGGAACCAATATTGTTCACGCAAATATGACTACAATTATGTCGAGATCCTTGACATTCATTGATATCTAAAGAATATGCAAGCATAAATTGAATTAACCTTTCATAAATACTATTCCATACAACTGGAAATTTAAATATGGTCTCCAACCAGCGCAATAAGTTCCGTTTCCTGACATTCCTGATGGACATGAGCCACATGTATAACCTGGTCGTCCAGCCGATGCTGGCTGATCAATACATGTTACTCCTGGAAAGCATGCTTCTGGATTGATTGAACATACATTAAGATCACTTTCACATCTTGATCCTGTATAGCCATTTGAACATTTACAAGGAACTGTCACGAATGTTTCTCCGACTAAAGAATTCCATATGCATCGTCCATTACGTGTACAATTGCACATATTGATGATCGGCGTATGAGTACTTGATCTGCCTTTACTGTCAGTGGCAATAAATATTAGCGTAGCAGGATTAGCAGACCTAACATTCCAGGTAAAGTTACCGATACTACTTCCATTAGTAAAGGTAATTCCACTTGGTAGATTGCCGATTAAAGTAAAATTGACGCTATATCTATTTGCACTGGAAGCAGTTACCAAAAAAGACGTCATGGAGCCAACAGTAACATTAATGGACGAGGGGGCACTTATAACAGGTGGCTCGTGATCTAAGATCGCAATAAAGTTTTACAAAATTAGCATTCAACGAGAAGAGATGCTGACGTTAGAATAATTGATTAGTCAATAATATACTGGTTTCATTGCCATTTACTATAGATACATATATCGCTGTAGTAACATCTTATATAGATAATCTACGGGATAGTATGCAACAGGGAATGTATGTTGCTGTTTCTAACCTAATTCTGTTCGTTCCTTGTTTAGTTGGTCGTCTGTAGATTTGGTTTGTGCACCAACGGTGATAGAATTGGTGGCAGCAACATCAAACAGACAAGCTAGATTTGTGCCACAAACTCTTGTGGCATTGCTTTGTAGACTTTCACTACTAAAGGTAATATTATTGACAAACATAGGCAGATAATTGATAAACGATGGAGGATTACCAGCTAGCAAGCGAGAGCTTGGAGCCACTCTCCCTAATATCATGAAATACGAATAAAAAATTATTGTACAGAATTATAGCGGAGTATTAACTTCTAATTCTTGGCAATATTTTTCATGTCAGCATTAGAGTTTAAATGAGGGTAAAGTTCATTTGCAAATTATTTCTATTTACAGTTAGTTTATTGAAGTATCAGTACTAAATCTTTTCCTAGCTAAAAGTTAAATCAGTCATACTACGGTGGGAACCGATATTCTTTATTTTTATTTGATGACTGAATATGTATATGAATGTGACCGTATGCGAAATAGGTCACGTTCATATACATTAAAAGAACTGGATAGAGATACTTTATCAAACAGTTGACGAAAACACTGCGCTCATGATATCGCTGCAACTGTAACTGAACATCATCGTATATACTGAAGAAGAAAATGTGTATTTAAACTACGATGGTTACCGTATTATATCCACACTATCGAGTCAAATAGTATTTTCATCTTATTTCAAATCGATCTCTACTTACAGGTAGCAGCAATACTGTGAATTTGTTCAGCTGAGGAAGTCGACAGTGAAAATTGTACGCCGGATGCACTTTCAAAATCATTTTGAACTCCATCCCATTTTCCTAATAATCCTTCAGTATTGTGATAGTAGTTTCGAGATAGGGCTAGAGTTATATCAAGAATACCATCTGACCGTTTCATAACACCCAATATAGACCCTAAGTAGGAAATGATGTTTAAATATTAATTGAATTATTATTAAAGTCTTCACTTAAGAATCCCATTAAAGTACTAATATTGATGGAAATTATATAATCTTAAATGCTCTATTTTATTCTTTAAGTTTTGTCTACTAGTTAAGCTTTTGAATCGATTAAATTTATGCAGCATAAAACAGTTCAGATATTTTCTTATACTACGACAAGATACAGTACAAATTTTGATCGAGATTTTGTTGTCTACAGCAAAATTGAAGATCTGTATGGGATTAAATATCGACTAAAATTATGCAATACACGGCAATTCCTTTATTCATTGATGTTTTTCCTGTAATGGTTTATAAAAATGGCGCAAAATAGATCACTGCACAATTCTCAATAACTGTCTCAGGTATTTTATATTATTGCTATGGAATTCATACTACCCAGATATTTAACATATCTGAACCCTAGCTAATTATAAAAGCTTATATTTTTTTCCATTCTATGACTAAAACAGAGATAACTTATAGCTGCAAAACAAGTGTACAGAATAGTATTATTCAAATCTACATATACAGTATGTAATTAATGTAGTATGGCCAAGATGGAACTAATTGGACATATAGCCATACACTGTATATGTATACGAGTTTATATATAGATCATAACGGGTTGAACCGAACCGAACCTTTCTGAGGTCTAGATGTAATAAGTCAGATCTAACTTGGATGCTTAACTAGTTCAATCAATTTGCTCTTAAATATAACAACGGAAAATGGATTATTAGCTACATTTCAGCTTCTACTCTGAGTAATCTAGTATTACAATTAAATAGATTTCTAAATATGCGACATAAAGTAGCCAGATAAATTTAGAATCACGTAAAACAAAGACGGAAGAAAGTCAATTGATGTAGATTGCATTAGAAACTGCCTTCTATCACAATTTTCTTTAACAGTTCATGTTCTACCTAACAGTATAACAATGCTACATAGTGAAATCCAACTATCGTATTCATGCAAGTCCTAAATATGAAAAAACTTGCTGATCTCAATACTTTATTTTCATAAAATTTTCTCTATTAAGATCATGACTGGTAAATTTAAATTTTTAGTCTTTACCTGATTCGAATTGAACACTTGCAGAGGTTCCATTCATGGTAATTAAAACCGAATTATTACCGAAAGGTACGGATGATACATTTCCTACCATCTGCTTAGCACGATTATAGTAAAGCTCGATCTCACCAGTAAAGTTATTGGCTTTAAATTCAACTATTCCGCTGTTACCTTCATAACCACCTACAGATTTAAGTACTGTTGCACCGGCTCCAGGAGAAATTTCATCGCATCGACATTGATATTCGAACGGAACTAAACTGGTTGTGCTATTACGAAGCAAGATAAAATCACCAATCCCATTAAAAGTATAGTTTTGAAAGTCCATAGTAGTAAAATGAGGATCACCCCAAGTCCAAGCTAGGATAAAGATCAGTTAAAGGTGATATTAAAGGAAAAGACATGGTATCTGATGTTTATGAGGATTGCCAGTAATTAGAATAGAATTAGATGCCATATTATGCAGATATCGAAAAATTCATTCAAGAACTGAACTTACCTAGACGAGGTGCATGTCGACAAGCCCCACTTGGATAGGATTTGAAAAATTCAACACATAGAGAGATTGGAGTTTGCTTGTTACAACAGAAACTATGACCTGATTGATCTAGCCTTTCTCCATTCCATCGAGCCAAATATCCAGCATTAAAGTTACGAGGACCTCGTTGATAAGCTCCAAAGCCAGGGTTTGCTAGTCTGTAGCAGCAACGCCGAACAATGCCATTGCGTATAAATCTTGAACGTAAACATATTTGTCCAGCAAAAAAATCATTGAAAATAAAACGTCTATCGAATAATGCTTGTCCGTATGAACATGGGCATAAAATGGATCTGCTGGTTGGACGTGGTTGAGTTAGGAAAGCTCGACAAGATCCTTCGCTCAATCTTTTAGTGCTATTTGTCAATCTAATCAGAAAAGAGTCATGAAAGACGTCAATCTTATTAGCTTAATGTAAAGTTCAATCATGGACAATAATTATATATGTTGTCTCAAGAAAGTGAACGTAAGAGTAAACGGGTTCTGGTTGTAATTTATTTCTACTAATTTATGATAAACTACATCATAAGCGTATTATAATGTTGGAATATCGATCATAATATATTTTGCATCATTAAAAGGAAATGATAAGACGATTTCTATGTAGACTAATCGCCTATTATAATTATAAGATATGGATTCTGATCATAATCTGATTGAAAGATTCAGGACATACGTTAATACTAAAACATAAATAATAATTAATGTGTGATACACAAGTGCAAGAAAATTATGCCACATTATATGGAGGTCAGTTTAGAACATTAATAGTTACAAACATGGTATAGCTAGAAATTCAATAAGAAAAGGAACATCGATGCTAGTTATAGAAGACGAATCATAAGCAAGTTCTTACGCAAATCTCCAGTAGCCACGTTGACCTGAGTTGGATTTATTTCCGGTGACTGACTGCAACAGTCCACTTGTCCCTGACATAATGATATTATGATAAATAGGCTGCATTTCATTGCCATTAGACCATCCAGCTACTGGTAAACCAATATTAGAATTGCTTAAATGGGAATTTTCACTCGGCAAGATCCACTCGATGCCATCTCTAGGATAGCGGAAAAAGGTATAAGTGGAAATCCCATCTGTAACTATTTGGACTTGAAATGTGTTTTTCTAGAAAACAAATAGAAATGAATCATGAAAATAATCTTTAGCAGCAACTGTCTAAACTTGAAAGGTATTTTGGCATAAATTAAATAGAATTTAGTCCAGAGGGAAATCATTTACTAATCTACAATTTTTGTCAATGAGCAAGTTTGAAATTTGGGGAGACACATACCGGAGAAGAAACATTTGCGGTGTTAGAATTTGGCACTATATTCTCCCAGGTTACTTGCAAACCCCACTTCGCACTAAAATTGTTCCTAGAAAATGCCACTCGCGTTTCATTACTGTAAGTAGCTAATTCACTGGGTGACATAGTTTCGTAATAGGTACCGGAACCAGCAGGTTGTTTAGTTGCGGCCAAACACCAAAATGGCGATATAGCAGCCAATCCAGAAATGCTTGTTGCACTACCAAAGGGTATAGGATATTTAACAGGGATATATCGATTGAAAGTCACCATGCCATTACTACAAATCTAAATAAAATTGTTCATTGTTTAACCAAGATTTCATGGATAAATCGCTAAATTAATTCTTTTTAATTACGTAATTTGTATCTAGGCGAATAATTAGACTGAATTTTCTCATTAGTTATGAAAGAATATTAAGACGGCAGCTATGCACTAATTTCTCAACATTAACTCATAATAAGATGGTGCTGGAAAAAAATTAAAAGCAAATAGTAAACGTCTTAACAATACTTCAAGAAATTGCTGTGCTTATTTTTATACTGGCGATGGGATAGGAGTGCAATCGATGAAT